AATGGCACAGCGCGTCCCACACTGTTCTCTTGATAAGTAGTTGGCTGTCTTATACTCTATCCAATGCCTTACTGAAATCTAAATCTACTATTACATCCACAGCATTCCCTTAGTGTGGAAATAGGGCCTCACTGCTGAAAACAGACTGACTTTTGTGTACTTTATAGCAACGGTCGCTAACCGGTGGGCCGCAAGAAAATTTTGGTGGGCCACAGAGAAATCTCACCTCAAGAGCACCCCCCAAAGCAATTAATGCAGACTGCACAGAAACACAAGGCTGCGCCACCCACATGGCCGGCGGGAACCCTCTCCGCCCACTCACTCCTTACCTGGCAAACTTGCCTGCTAAATTGCTTTTTCCTTTTTTTTTTTTTTTTTTTACTGTAAGCTGTTCGCTGTGCCGGGAGATTTAGATCAGCTAGGAAGCAGGAAATGGTTGGATTTGTTGCTTTCTAGCTAGTCTTTAGGACCTCCCTTAGGATTAAAGGTGCTATTATTCAGTGCAGACTCACGGCAAGCAAATTTTATGTGACAGACTCAGGTAGCCGATGGCAGATAGATAGATCACTGAATGATTCTGTGAACAACTCAATCTGCCTGTCTGCTTTGCCTGATTTTGGGTAAAAGTTGCTCTTTTTTAAATAAAAAAATTCAATATTTATATAAATATTTATAATATTTACATACAAGCCATGCCCAGCCAGTCACATGACCACCAAGCCACACCCACAAATTAGACTACACCCACAGAACCAGTTAGTGGTCCCTGGGATTTAAAATTATGAGTTTGGTGGTCCCTGAGGTCCAAAAGGTTGGTGATCCCTGCTTTATAGCATCTTATACTCCAGTCTCACCCACTATTCATATTTATCTCAACACTCTGTGCTTTTAAGATGCCCTTACTAATCGTGGTCTGTGACAGTAATAAAAACTGATACTAAACTGCTAGAAGTTGGTCACATACCAACTTCTAGCAGTTTACAACACTCATAGAATCCTGAAAACTGTCCCCCCAAAAACTGGCATCAAAAGCAACATTTTTCCTTGCTCAACAATCTTATGGAAGAGCTCAGTCTTAAACTGCCCTCCAGAATACTGTAGGGTTTTTTCCTTACAAAGTGATAATTTCTTTTTATCAAACATCACATGACTTACCTGCATAGGAATAAAAGTATATTTTTATTATGAATGTATACGTTGTAGTGTTAAATCACACGTCACAAACTACAAAATAATCAGTTAATTAAAATTCCACTTGGAAACTAAAAGACACTGCAGCTACAATGCATACCTTCCCTCATCTTTAGTTTTCTTCAAAGGGCAGAGGCACCACGTTTACGTGGCTGGTTTCAGGTAAAATATGAAATTGATCCAAATTTGCTGACATTAGCACAAGAGAAGGAAAAAGTTAACTTCCAAAACAAATCAACTCATTCAGAGTCAAAAATGAGAAATACCTTTCAGCTGGTCTGCTACCACACTCTGGCCCACGCGCTCCATCACCTTTCCATCCTCCATTTCGTAGCGATCATCCAAGTATTTTGCAGTAGCCTCTGAAATATGGACCTTCCCAGCAACGCCCAGTTGTTCCATTAAGTTAGCTAAATTGACATCATTGGACCAAACATCAAACTTAAACCTCCTCATTCCCAGAATGCCACAAAGGACCGTCCCGGTGTGCACGCCAACCCTCATATTCACCATCTCTTTCTTCTCTTGGCAAAACTGCTCAATCGCTTTGATCATGCCCAAGCCCATCTCGATGCAGCAGTAAGCGTGATCCACTCGGGGCTCGGGACACCCCGCCACACAGTAGTAGCAGTCCCCCAAAGTGCTTATCTTCTCGCACTTGGTGTCCTCGCAGAGGCGATCAAAGCGGCCAAAGAGGTCGTTCAAAAGCCCCACCAGGGCGTGTGCAGATTTGTTGGCACTCATTTTGGTAAAGCCCACAATATCTGCGAACAAAATACTGACTTGTTCTATCTGCTGCATCTTGAAGGGGCGAAAGACAATGGGGGTCTTCTGAATGGATGGTTTCTTCTTCCTGCTTTTGGGGCTGGAGGCGGAGTGGCGCTTGATGGAAGAGCTCTCGCTGTCCTCGTCCCCCTGCTTCATCAGGTCGTCTGCGATGATCCTGGGCATGACCGAGTGGATCATGCGCTCCTTCAGGGCCTTCTCCACCTCCAGGTCCTTTCCGTGCATGATGGACTGGCCCACCTTGAGGAAGGTGCTCCTGGACCGCACCTCCGACATGATGAAGAGGTGCACGCCGGTGGCGTGGATGCAGAGGTGCAGCAGGGCCTTGCCCAGCAGCTCCCAGGGGGCCAGCCGCTCGCCCGGCGGGGGCGCGAAGCAGCGCTCGTCGCGGAAGCCGTAGCCGAGCGCCTCGAAGAGCGCCGAGCCGCACAGCCCCAGCAGCAGGCTCAGGTAGAGCGGCAGGTGCGGCACGGCGTAGAGCAGCAGCAGCGCCGCCACGCACAGCGAGAAGCTGCCCACCGGCGACAGGCAGGGCGGGGGCGCGGCGTGCGCGCTCCCGTTGCCCCCGGGCGCCGCCGGCAGCTGCGTGGCCAGCGGGAGGGCCAGCGCCAGCAGCACCAGCGCCAGCGAGGAGCCGGCCGGGTGGCGCCCGTAGGCGCGCGTGAAGGTGAAGAGCAGCGCGGCCAAGCAGGCGGCCAGGAAGGCCAGAGCCGCCGCCGCCGCCGCCGCCGCCCCGCCGCCGCCGCGCCCCCAGCCCAGGTAGGCGCCCCACAGCAGCGCCGCCGCGCCCAGGTAGCCAAGCGCGTAGCGGAGCCGGCGCCGCGTCTGCGGGAAGCGGCGCTCGCGGCAGGCCTGCTCCAGGTTGCTCGAGTCGAAGCGCGGGTCCCACCAGCGCGGCGAGGCGCGCTCGAAGAGCTGCGGCGCCCGGCCGGCCCCCAGCCCCAGCCCC